GTATAACTGTATTAATTCAACTGTGAATCTAAAAACTTACAGCCACTTTTGAAAGAGATGTATCCTTGCCCTGGAATGTGTTACTGAATATGTTAAAGCTGTAATGAAATGCTTCTTCTAATCATGTGGTTATTAAATAAAAAAAATTATCTTTGGATTTTTGCTGCATCTGGCAAGCAGGAATGAAACTTACCTGTCATTAGGTACTAGCCCTGGGCTGAGCATCCTAGAACTGCTCTGGCTTGCTCCTCTGCCACTGTTCCTTCTCTTTAATATCAGCTGGGCCCTTTCTAATTCAGGGTGCCTGTCTGGATTTCTAATGGGAACCCTGCTGAGTTGAATTTGGCTTCAGCATTATTACCATCCAGCAGCACCCTGGCATTGCTACAGGTATGCCAAGACCTCCATTCTGCCTGTGATATACAAAGGAGCTCCTGCTCCTACCTGACCCTTCCTGGAAGGGACCTTGGTTCATGAGGATGCTTTCTTCCATGGGTAAAAGGAGGTATGGGTGGAACTTATATGTATTAGTCAGAAGTGGAATGAGCACTTTCACCACTGAATGTTGATTAATTTCCATTAGCCTCAGTTCCTCATTTGAGGATGGGGGTGAGCCTGGAAAATAATAGGCCCCACAGGATTACTAAGAGACCAAGTGAGCAAGATTTACATCTCAGAGCCTAGAAAGCGATAGCATTTATTTAAACATTATCAGTCATTTGAGTAAGGGGACATTGAAAACTATTATGATATTATGGCTCTCTCTCCTTAATGTCCCCACATGTGTCATCTCCCTTTTAAAATATAGGCCAAAGACTTGCTGGTTCATGCTAGGAATTAAGGAATTAAGGGTCCAGAAGACAATTCCTGGACCTCAGTCTCTAACACACTTTTTTTTTTAGGTCTTTCTGAGACAGGGTCTCCCTGTAGCCCAAGCTGTCCTGGAACTCACTATATAGACCAGGCTGGCCTTGAACTCACAGAGATCCGCCTGCCTCTGCCTCCAAAGTGCTGGGATTAAAGGTGTGTGCCACCACACCCGGGTCTAACACACTTTTTAAAAACATTATTTTATGTGTATGAGTGCTTTGCATGTATGTATGCAAATGCACCACATGCATGCAATGCCCACAGAGACCAGAGGATGGTCTTGGATTCCCTGGAACTGGAGTTACAGATGGTTGTTAGCCATCATGTGGGTGCTGGGGGCTGAACCCGGTTCCTCTGGTAGAACAGCAAGTGTTCTTAACCACTGAATCATATCTCCAACCCCTCTAACTTTCTCTTTTAGGAAGTGCTATTTCCATTTTCCTCCTCGAGATCTTCACCTGTGGCTCCTGACCACAGATACCGGCCAGGGTCTCTCTGCAGAAGTGTTTCCCACCAGGTTTGCTGCACGCCCTGAGGGTCCCGGCGGGCGGAGCTGCGGCAGAGGGGCGGGCTCCAGCCGGGCTCATCCTATTTCAGTATGCCAGCTCCAAGTGTCCAGAGGGCGGGAAGGAAGGAGGCCGGGCAGAGGGGGTGAAAGGAGCATTGATGCAGCGGGAGGCCGTCCTGCAGCGCGGTGGGGCCAGACGCCGACCAGGTCCCGGTTCCCGCGGTCTCATTCACCTCCTGCTCCAGGCTTGGCAGCCGCCTTGCGCCATGCACCCCCAGGACCACACCGCGTCCCCGCCGCAGCTACTCGGCCTCCTTCTCCTGCTGCTGCTGCAACTGCCTGCGCCTTCCAGTGCCTCTGAGACTCCCAAGGTGAAACAAAAGGCGCTTATCAGGCAAAGGGAGGTGGTGGACCTGGTGAGTCTGAGAGAGTCGGTCCTGATCTCAGTGCTGGAGGAGAGGACCGAGTCACAGATGCAGAGGGAGGGTGTCATGTGCCTTAGATGTGCCTGGGTGTCCTCTTTGTCTGAGTCTGTGTAGGAAAATCAGGGACCTGTGTGCCGTGGAGGCATGGAACTCCCAAGGAAAGGTCATCTTAGAGCAGAGATGCAATGTAGGTCAGATGGGATGCCCCCAAGTCCATGTAGTCGCCCAATACTTTCCGGCCTCTGGAAAGCCACCCTTGGGTGGAGTGGAGAGAGGGGTTGCAATAGGGGTTAGAGGAGTAACCTGGGTGAGTTAGAACGCCTCCGAGAAAGACCCTAGGCTGGCTGATCACCTGGGCTAAGGCCTAAGGCGGTGCAACGTGTCCTTTGTTGGAGCTGGTGGCCACGTCTGCCTTGGGGAAGGAACAACAACCCCCACAAAGCATCCGTCCAACTCTTCCTAACTTGAAGACTGTGAGTCACTTTAGGTCATCTTCCTGGGGAGCATAGGCTGCAATTTTACCCCTTGGAGGACCACAGCTGGGGCCAGGAATGCTTCAGAGGGTTTGAAGCTGAAAGGAGGAACAGAGTGTCTCAGAGCAAGAGTCCTCCAGATGGACAGTCAGGTCTCAGTCTGTGACCATCAGGGAGGCACATTGCTAAAGGTAAAGCGTTTCCAGGCCAACAAGCAGCCGAAGTGCTTTCTAAGGGGCTAATCTGTGGGAAAGCCTCTTTGCATAAAACTCTTTTCCTCTAAAAGTCAACAAATCCAGTGGCCGGGAGAGAGGTTCTCTGTCCTATGCAAAAGCCAGCCTTTGGTTGACTGTAGTCCTTGGCACATCATAAACGTCAGTCTTTCAGTCAATCACATACGGTTGACAGGCACTGCAGGACATAAGACAGGGGGCATTTATTGATTTTTTTTTTTAAGGTTTGAATTTGTTAAGCTGACATTCTAAACCGAGCTAATAAAACAAGTCCTGGCAGTTCATTCTAAGCTGGATTCAGAGCACTCGGGGGGAAAAAAATTCCTGCTGCTTTTACACAGACTTTTTTTTGGTGCTATGGTATATAATTTTGCTCCATAAAAGCAGACTGTGTGTTGGGGCTACAGTTCTATTTTAAGTGCCCAAATTCTTAAAACTGTACCAAGTGAATGCGGTTCATGTGCAGCTTTCATTTTATGAATGTGTACCCTAGATACATAAACTATCCCCTTTCCCCCATAAAGCTAACATTTTCCCCCTCCTAAGTACGGTGGTTTCCCACAACACTAACTCAACTTGGAAACGCTTGCTGTGCAGCCAGGCTCAGGTGCATCCTGTAGACTGGATTTGTTCTTGGCGACAGAAAAAGTCCACAGGGTCATTAGGAAGGCTTCAACAAATTCTGTAAAGCAACTTCTTTGTATAGAATCTCTCAAAGCCTTCCTTTCACGCTGCCAACAAGATCTGCCCCCTGGTGGCCAATAAAAGAAACGAGGAGAGGGAGGGGGAGAGGGAGTTTGGGCTTCCATTCAGTTTTTAATTTATAGACCCTCACTGGCAGTTCTAAATATGCATTGGTACAAACGTTATAAAGTGGGTGAAGACATAAATAATCCTGTGGAACTGAATCTAATGAAGTTATGTGGACTCTGAGGTTTTTTTTTTTTTTTAATGAAAGGGTGAATACAGTTTTTCAGTCATGGCACTATTAACATTTGGGGTCAGGTAATTCTTCCTTGTAGAGATTGCTCTGTGCATTGTAGATTGGTTAGCAGACTCCTTAACCATTTCCCACTAGACTCCAGTACAATCCCTTAAAATGTGTCCAAATGTTCCCAAGTGTCTCCTGGGGTGCAAAATTGTGCCCAGAGGAGCACTATTGTTAAGAGAGAATAAAACTTTATGTAACATCTTGTAAGGAATATCAAAAGTGTGATTTCTTCTTCTTTCTCACTTTATGATGTCCAAACATGGTCCATATCTGCATGTTAGAGTGCATAAAATTACAAAAACATGAAAATTAAATTTAAAATACACTCAACTGTCTTAAAATATTTCATATGCTGACGTGTCTTCGTGTACTTTCGCAACTTTAAAATATTCTTCTATTTTTCTGATAATAAATATGTAATAGTGAATTTCCCCCTTATAGTCAGGGAAATGGTAACACCCAAGTCATTAAGAAAAAGGCATTGATAAGAGCTGGGCGTGTTAGTGCATACCTTTGATCCCAGCACTTGGGAGGCAGAAACAGGCAGATCTCTGTGAGTTTGAGGCCAGCCTGGTCTACATAGTGAGCTCCAGGCCAGCTGGGGCTACAGGGCGATCCTGTCTCAAAAAGACCAAAAAAGAAAGAAAAGAAAAAGCCATTGACCAAAACAAAGATGGAGCCAGTGACATCAGAAGCAAATTAAATGGTAAACAGTATGATTACATAGGATTCTCCCTAAATAGTGTTGTTAGTGGAATTTAAAATCTGATCATGTCTAATCCCAGATCATAAAGTTAAAAGATAACTTTGAAGTTACTTTTGTATTTTTTTTTCCCCCCTTTGGGACAACATTTACACACAGAATGATCGTATTGGATAATTTACATAAATAAGTGGAATGTTAAAGTAAAAATTTATGGTGTATGAACCACTTTTCTGTTGCTGTGATAAAACATGACCAAGGCAACTTATAGAAGGAAGAGTTTAATTGGCTTATGGTTCTAGAGGAGAAAAGAGCCTATCACTACAAGGAAAGCATGGCAGGAGGCACTAGAGTGGAAAGCTGAGAACTCATATCTTCAAACACGTGTAGGAAGCAGAGAGATAACAAACCGAAAATGGGCTAAGCTATGAACTCTCAAAGCCTGCCCCCAGTATTGTACTTCCTCCTGCAAAGCCACACCTCATAGGGTTTCCCTGATGGCCCCAAATACCACCACCAACTGTCCATATATATACCAAGTGTTCAAATACTTGGGCCTATGGGGGGAACTTCTTATCCAAACCACCGCAAGTGAATTCAATTGGGTTTTGGAAGGTATAATTAATGGTACCCCCATTTCCATGTTAACTAATTCAGGGGTAGGCACAGGAATTGAACAAATGGAGCTCAAAATATTGTGTTTGTAGTACTGCAGTGTGTGTGTGTGTGTGTGTGTGTGTGTGTATGTGTGTGTACTCATATACATGCTAGCCTATGTGAACCACCTTTGGTAAGTGCCTTATGTATGCCAGCCCATAGATTTGCTTAAATTCTTCAACTCTAGACCCTGGTAAGATCCACTCAAGGGAATGGAGACTTACCCAAAGTCATCACTTCATACCAATCATGGAGATATTAGAACACTTATACAGTGTTTACAGTGTTCCAGGCATTTTCTAAGCGTATTTTATATATTATTCACTTAAATCTCATACAAAACCCTACCTACAAGTCAAGAATGTTTATTATAATCCCCATTTTATACACAAGGAAACAGATACTGAAGTGCTGAGTAACTGGCCTTGTCTCACATAGCCAAGACGGTATGAAAATGGTTCTAGAATCCATGCATTTGCAAAATACACTTCAAGACACCCACCACCACCACCAAAACAGAGAATCCTAGTACTTACAGATGGTTTGCTAGATTATTGCATATCTATTGGAGACAAATGGTCACTTGGAACTAGGCCACTTACTCTTCTTAAGGGATATGGAATGGATTGAAGCCAGAAGTTCTACCTTAATTCCCTTTCCTTTAGGTGAAAATAAAAGCAGCAGAGAACATGCATATCGAGCATAGAGATACTGCCAGTACAAGATAATTACTGACTGCTAACATTTTACTTCATAGGTATGCCATTAGCACTTAATCTTAAAGAATTCTCTTTTAAAAAGCTATCTGGATAAAGATGTTTATTATAGCATTGATGGCAAACCCCAGAAATAACACATCCAAAAACTAATCATTGAAAAATGGCACAGTTTGCATAAAACTATAAAAGTACATTTATAAAATCCAAGTCTCTTTATAGGATATGGGACAATAAGGGAAATAACCAGGATATCAAATTATATGTTTGGAATACAGCTAGTTAAAATTGTATGTACTTATAATCAGCAGTAGAAAGAAAAAGACAAATGGAAACATGTTGTCCTCTGATTTGTATGTGTATAAACTTTGTTTAATTTAAAATATAAAGGAGGGGCTGGAGAGATGACTCATCAGTTAAGAACACTGGTTATTCTTGCAGAAGACCCAGGTTTGAATCCCAGCACCCACATGGCGCTAACAATTGTCCATAATTCCAGTCCCAGGGGATCCGACAGCCTCTTCTGACCTTCGAGGGCATTACACAACATGGGTGCACTTACCTACATACAGGCAATACACACATACGCATAAAATGAGAAAAATAAAAATAAAGGAAATAACATTTTATAAATAACCTGAAAATGACTTCTCTATAACTCATTAAAACATGGACAAGTGGTGTAAAGGGGATTTTGATAAGTTCAAAGTAATTGCAGTTGTCATCATTTGAGTCATATTTTTTGTTTGTTTGTATAGCTATTGATTTATATTGTGCTGGAGATCAAACGTTGGGCCTGTGCATGCTAGGCAAGGGCTCTACTACTGAGCAACATCTCCATATTGTCTTTTAATCTTAGGTAATGACCCTTGTTTTCCCTTCTCCTTTCCCACTGTAGTATAATGGAATGTGTTTACAAGGGCCAGCAGGAGTCCCAGGTCGTGATGGAAACCCCGGGGCCAATGGCATTCCTGGTACACCTGGGATCCCAGGACGGGATGGATTCAAAGGAGAAAAGGGGGAGTGCTTAAGGGAAAGCTTTGAAGAATCCTGGACCCCAAACTACAAGCAGTGTTCATGGAGTTCATTGAATTATGGCATAGATCTTGGGAAAATTGCGGTAAGTCTGAATTATATTTAAATTGAAGCAAAATTTATGAGTTTTTATAATTGAGATTTAACTTTGTTTTTAAAATAAACGACTATTATTATTTGTGTATGTGTGTGTGTGTGTGTGTGTGTGTGTGTGTGTTTGTGTATCTGTGCAAGTGTGTCTGCCTGTACCTGTGGAGGCCAGAAGAGGGGCTGGGATCCCTTGGAGCTGGAGTTCCAGGTAGTTGTGAGCAACTTGATGTGATGTTGTGTGTGTTCTGGGACCTAAACTTGAGTCTTCTGGAAGAGCAGCAAGGGTTCTTAACTCCTCAGCCCTCTCTCCAGCCCCAAACTGAAGGACTTTAAGTTTAAAAAGACACATAATAAATGACATGTGACTTTTTTCTTAAATTAATGAAGAAAATTGATAACATTTCTGTTAATTTCATAGTTATCTCTTAAGACAAATAATCACTTTATTTTATTTTATTTTGGTCTTTTTAAGACAGGGTCTCCCTGTAGCCCAGCTGACCTAGAACTCACTCTATACACCAGGCCGGCCTTGAACTCACAGAGATCCACCTGCCTCTGCCTCGAGTGCTGAGATTAAAGGCATGCACTACAATGACTGGCCCAATCACTTTACTCTTTAGCACAAATTAAAAAAGAAAGCACAGGATATTCTTGTTAGAGAGCAACCAACTTTCTAATCTTGTCATAGAGTGAATTTAAATTTAGTCTAACAAATCCTGCTGTAATTTCAGACCTAAAAGTGGGAGATGGCTCTAAGAATTGCCACATAATTGGAATTCCTTGCTACTGGGAAGTCCATAAAATTTTTTTTTCTTACTAAGGTAATATGCTCAGTTTAAAATTGCATAGGTTAAGGGAAATAAAATGGACTAGGAGTGATTTAAAATAGTCCTGATAGTGATTCTGCAATAGTTTGTGTAGGGAGAGGACACTCAAAAAGCATGTCTGGCAATCCATTTTGATTAGTGATTTAGTCACTTTGATTAGTGCTAGCAACTGGAATGCAGCTCAATGGTAGAATGCTTGACTAGAATGTAGTTCAGTGGTAGAATGAGCAAGGCTCTGGGTTGGACCCCAGCACTGTCTAAACAACAACAACAAAAAGCAACTGGCAAGTCCAGTGGGATGGGACAGAGTTGAAAAAGTTGGTGCTGTTTATAAGTTTCCGTCTTTTATTGAGCAACTCTGCTTATGATTCTATATCTATAGTTTAGCATTTAATGATTTTAATTACCACTACCACCAGATAAACAAAGATCATTTTCATCAAACTCTAAGGTTTTAAGATATAAATTTGGCATTATACCAGTTCCCTATCTCAAGTCTTGCTGCTCTGTTACTAAGTTTGCATATATTGGTTTTGTGTGAATGGTTTTTCATTGAGCTACCATATTTTTGGTGACTGTGATCTGTTCTCTCTTTATATGTGTTTTCTTAGAAAGTGGTCTGTTAAAATGTTACCTAGTTATTTAAGCATCTAACACTGATGGGCTGTTTTCTTTTTTACAGTTGTTCATCAGAAGTTGCTGAGCTCTTCCTAAAAGCTATCCCTATAGATCCTGCATTATTTATTTTTATTTTGTGTATGAGTGTTTTGCCTGCATGTATGTAAGTGTGCCCCTGTCATGCAATGCTGGAGGAGGCCAGAAGAGGGCATCAGACCCCCTGGAAGTGGAGTTAGGGATGGTTGTTAGCTGGATTTCTGCTTCTCGGCAAAACCACAGAGCCATTTCTCCAGTCCTGATCCTGCATTATTAATATGTCTTCATCTTCCTTTTAGCACAGATACAGGAACTTTCTGCAAGTAAAATATTGTAGAATATAAGCCAGCTGACAGATTTTTGTGAAGACTAGTTGAAAGAAAAAAAAAAAACTGTGTCTTACTATTGGGACATACACATAAACTTGCCTATGCTTCATGCCTTCTATTGTGTGCTGTTTTTCAGAAGAAAGGTCAAGCCTAGTGTGGTGACTCACAATTGTAATCCTGGCACCCAGGGGGTAAGGCAGGAGGATCCAGAGTTCAAGGCTAGCCTTGGCTACATATCTCAGCCTGAGATAGTAGGGACCCTGTCTAAAAGAAAAGCAAAATTAAAAACAAAACAAACAAAAATAAGAGAGAGAGAGAAGAAAAAAGAAAGAACAAATTCATATTGTCAGGCAGCAGTAGTTCAGAATGTCAGTTCTAGCAGTGTAGGGATTTCCTTTTGCTAACTTCTGTATTCAACTATCCAGCACATAGTTGGCATTCAATAAATATTTATTTATTACTTTTATTTTATGTGTATGAGTGTATTGCCTACATGTAGGTAAGTGCACCCATGTCGTGCAATGCCTGCGGAGGACAGAAGAGGCTATTGGATCCCCTGGAACTGGAGTTATGGACAGTTGTTAGCTGCCATGTGGGTGCTGGGATTCAAACCCGGGTCTTCTGCAAGAACAGTCAGTGTTCTTAACCACTGAGCAATCTCTTCATCCCCCTCAATAAATATTTTTAATAGAGGAAAAAGTATATAGATTGGTTGGCCAAAAGTACTGAAGACTAGCTGTTTCTGATAAAACTGAAAGATACAGTTAAGAAAGCCAGACGTTGACTTTTTTAGAGTTTTGTATCAAAATCTCTTATCTATCATCTTATAGAGAATCTCTATATATAAAATTTAGCCTTTTAAAATACATTGGAGAGAGAATAGTTAATTAAAATTCACAATATAACTTCAAAGCCTTTTTTCTTTCTTTTTAAAAATATTGTATTTATTATTTTTATTTTATGTGTACAAGTGTATTGTCTGCACGTATTTGAGTGCACCCATGTTGTGCAATGCCACGGAGGTCAGAAGAAGGCTTCGGATTCCTCTGGAACTGGAGTTAAGGATGGTTCGTAGCCGCCATATGGGTGCTGGGAATCAAACCCAGGTCCTCTGCAAGAGCAGTCAGTGCTCTTAACCACTAAGCCAACTCCCCAGCTCCCCCTTTTTTTCTTTTTTTAATCTCCCCCCATTCCCTCTTTCCAATTCCTCCCTAACCCCACCACCATCACTTTCCCCTCCCAACTTCATGTGCTCTTTTTCTAAACTGACAGTCCACTTAGTGCTGTCTGCATATGCACAGGTCTAAGACCATAGAGCATGGGGAGCCTCTCAGGGGCTGCATCCCTGAAGAAAGCTGACTCTCCCTCCCCCAACAGCCATCAATTGCCTATAGCTTTCAGGTATGGGTAGGACTTCATGAGCCTCTCCCCTATCCATGATGCAATGTTGACTGGTTTGATCTTGCACAGATCTTGTGCATGCAGTCACAGCTGCTGTGAGTTCATGTGTGCAACAGGCTTGTCATGCCCAGCAAATAATGCTTTGTTGTAGACATCCACTGGCTCTGGCTCATACAATCTCTATGCCCCCTCTTCCTCCATGATCCTTGGGTCTTGTGATACAGATGTCCCATTTAGAGCTAAACATTTCACAGTCTTTTAATCTCTGCACACTGACTGGTTGTGGGTCTCTCTATTAATTCTCATCTACTGCAAAGAAAAGTTTCACTGATGAGGACTGAGAGATGCACTAATCAGTTAGTATAAAAATAAGAGCATAGGGGACAACTTATTACTATGTCCATTTAGCAGAATAATAGTATTAGGTTCTTCCCTAGGGCCTCTTACCTAGCCAACCACAGGTTTTTGACCCAGGTAATTGAACCAGGCATGCAGTCCATCTGTAGAGTGAGCTTTAAATTGAATCAGAAATTCTTCAATTAATCTCATAATATTGGTGCTACCATCTCACCAGGCTGGTAATTATTATGATTCATAGAGTTCACCACTGGGTAAAACTGTTGACTACTTTTCTGCCCCAGCAGCATGCATAGAACCTTCCAGCCCCCTGAAACCTAGGCAGTAGAGATGAAGCTTGATTCTCCATATCCTATGACTCAAGTACGTGGTGTCTTGAGCAATAGGAAATATTATTTATCTGTAAAGAAAAATTAACTTATGAAATTCTCAGGTAAATAGATGGAGCTGGAAATAATTCTGAGTGAAGTCACCCAGACCCAGAAAGACAAATGCTGCATGTTCTTTGTCATGTATGGATGCTATTTTTGAATCTTCAGATAAGTGTGTTTAAATTGGAGTACCCATAGAAGTCAGAAAACTACTAGGGGACCAAGGGAAAGGGGATAGAATGCAGATGGTATGAAGGAAAAAGGAGAATATGGAGCAGCAAGGGTTAAGTGGAGTGGGGATGGGAGGGAAAGGTAGGGGGGAATATGGGGAGGGATGACTAACATTAAAGACCTTTTGAAAAGTCATAGAGGGGCTGGAGAGATGGCTCAGTAGTTAAGAGCACTGACTGATCTCACAGAGGACCCGGATTTGATTCCCAGCATCCACATGATGGTTAACAACCACCTGTAGCTCCAGTTCCAGGGGATTTAACACCTTCTTCTGACTTCCACTGGCATTGCACAACACGGGTACACTTACACACATGCAGGCAATATACTCATATACATAAAATAAAAATAATAAAATATTTTTAAAATAATTTATTGAGAATTTCATACAGGCTTATAAGCATATAAGGTGTTTTGATCAAATCCATGCCCACTCCCTCCCCTCCAACTCCTCCCATATCTCCCCATCACTTTTTTCTAATAACATCATGTACTCTTTCTTTCTTTCTTTCTTTTTTTTTTTATGGGTCTTTTTGCTACTCTAACATTCGCTCCTCTGAAGAGGTAACCCTAAAATCTTTTAAGGATTAGATACAAGATCCCAAATGCTTTTGACATTTTGACAGTTTTGGCCTTTGGAACAGAGTATGTTACTAAGAGGCCCAAAGACATTTTGACTTTTAGCCAAGAAACTGGCTACTTTCTTTGGGGTCTTTTTACACTAACTGCCTAGCCAATTCCTACCTCCTATTCTTATCACACCATCCTCTGAAGAGGTTACCCAGCTTGGGAATTGGGACACATACTGCTCTGGTTTCCATGCTGAAGAGGGATGAAGGGTGAGGCAATTGGAGTACCCCTTCAGTGTACCCAAAAGACTCCCAAATTGCATAACTCTTATCTGTAGGGGGAAAAGAAAGTCCTTGACAGGTGAATAGGAAATGTGAAGGAGAAGTAAAGGCAAGAGTAATTAGCATTACAAGTTTTAGACAGGGAACTAGAAAAAAGTCAGAACAGGGCAAATTTCAGATGTTCATATGAGAGTCCATTTCTTGATAAGACCTTCCAAAAACATCCCTCTTTTGGGTTCCTCCTCATTTTTCTTTTGTCTGCTAAGGCTGGACTCTAGCATGATGGATTCAGGGCTTGCTTTCAGGCATTTTGATAGATGTTGGAGTGGTTAGAATCAGTATCAGTTCTCTCTCAAAGGCTTCTAGATAGGGGGAGAAAACAAATTTAGCCATCATTTTCGAACAATAGTGGGTTATCTCCCTTAGCTACAGGTGGGCACTACAGTATTGAAGTCTTATATCTGAGCAGATGTCTGTCTGCTTCAGAACAAAATCATCAATGAGAAAAAACTGTCTAAATAAGCTTTTTATATGGACTTAAGCCTAATGTCTGAGAAGAGTAATCCCTTGAACTCTTAAAGAAATATACTGATCACTTTACTCTTTGGTTATACTTTCCTTTTGGGTGTTTAAGACCATATAGTTGGCCCAAATAAATCAATTTATTTTTACACTTAAGGTCGTTTGAGGATCTGTTCCTCAGGGGTCACATGGGTTTGGGAGGAGCTCCTGGCTCCTTTCTTTTACCAGTTCCATCTATGTGAAGGTAAGTCAAAGGTCCTACTTGTCCATGTCTGGCTTCACTTGGAAGCATGGAGGAAATGTTTCCTCTGAGTTGATCCTCCTCTTTGTAGACTGGACACTGGTTCAAGTCCATCTCGTGGGGTCTCCATGACCTCCCTGAACAAGAGGACAGGTGACTCACCACAGTTGCAGGACATTTTGAGAGATGTTCCATAGTCCCCTGGAACTTAGTCAATCTTGGACAGCAAGGAGCAAAAACTGCCCTTTATGTCCCTCTGACCAGATTAGTATAGGCGTCAAAGTATAGCTGTTAAACATCCAATAAGGTTAATTCCACCAGTACTTTAATTACCATGATAAATAAAATATTTTCTTTTTTTTTTTTTTTCTTTTTTTTTGGAGCTGAGGACCAAACCCAGGGCCTTGTGCTTGCTAAGCAAGTGCTCTACCACTGAGCTAAATCCCCAACCACATTAATAAAATATTTTTTAAAATAAAATTAAGCCAGACATGGTGGTGCATGCCTTTACCCCCAGCACTTGGGAGGCAGAGGCAGGTAGATCTCCGTGAGTTCGAGACCAGCCTGGTCTACATAGTGAGTTCCAGGTCAGCTGGGGCTACAGGGAGACCTTGTCTCAAAAAGACCAAAATATACATAAATAAATAAATTTAATTTAAATAAAAGTCATATAGAAAACTATAGTGGCACACATCTTTACTCCCAGCAGTCTGGAGGCAGAGGCAGGCAGCTCTCTGTGAGTTTGAGGCCAGCCTCGTCTTTATATCATGTTCCAGGACAGCTAGGGCTATGTAATGAAACCCTGTCTAAAAAAAATGAAAGAAAAAGAAAGAGGAAGGAAGGAAGGAAGAAGCCATAAAGAGACATACTACCACAGAAAGTATATATATGTACATATATGGAGAGACCACCTTAAAAAAAGAAATAAAAAGCCATATGGAAACACACCACCACAGAAATGTTTTCATTTTTTTTTCCAACAGCATCATGAGACCCTGTCTCAAGAAAAAAACCAAAAACAAGGGGGAGAGAGTGAGAAATTCAGAATGAATGAGAGAGAGAGACAGAGAGAGAGAATTTAAATGGTATTAGCCTATAATTGGAGGGACACTGCCTCTCCCAGACCAGACCCTATAGGTTATCAAATAAAAAGCTCAGTGCTAGATATGGCTTACCTCTTTTCCAACTGTTGGTCAATGGGGTTGCATAGACTTTCCCCCAACATTACAGGCTGTTGTACTTGTTCCTGGCTGCCCTCTAGAACTTGGTGATCAAAACTTTTTTTAGTTAAAGTGAAAAATGTTAATCTATTCTTCTGATTCTTGCAGGAGTGTACATTTACCAAAATGCGCTCTAACAGTGCCCTGCGAGTTCTGTTCAGTGGCTCACTTCGGCTAAAATGCAGAAACGCATGCTGTCAGCGTTGGTATTTCACGTTCAATGGAGCTGAATGTTCAGGACCTCTTCCCATTGAAGCCATTATCTATTTAGACCAAGGAAGCCCTGAACTAAATTCAACAATTAATATTCATCGTACTTCTTCTGGTATGTACAATAGTGGCATTGCAGAACATGCCTCAGATCTGCCTAAGAATAGTTTCATGTTCCACTAGTGTGCTGGGTAACTAGCCTGCTCTAAAGGGATCTCTAGTGAGTTTGCAGTGCCCGAGTCTCCACCCCGGGCTGCACTTTACAATTACTTATGGATCCTTTTTTAAGATACACACTCCTGGGTCTCATCTCTGATCAGCTGGCTAAGAATCTCTAGGGCAAGGCCCCAGTACCTGCATTTTTTTTTTTTTTTTTTTGTCTTTTTGAGACAGGGTCTCCTTGTAGCCCCAGCTGTCCTGGAACTCACTACATAGACCAGGCTGGCCTTGAACTCACAAAGATCCACCTGCCTCTGCCTCCCAAGTGCTGGGATTAAAGGCGTGTGCCACCAGTATCTGTATTTTAAAAACAAAATATGCAAGGGCTAGAGAAATGGCTCAGTGGTTAAGAGCACTGGCTGCTCTTACAGAGGACCTGGGTTCAATTCCCAGCACCCACAAAGTGGCTAATAACCATCCCGTAACTCCAGTTCCATGGAATCTGATGCCCTCTTCTGGCCTCCACAGGCATTGCATAGCACCTGTGCACTTACATACATGCAAGCAAAACACTCATATGCATAAAATAGGACTAAATTAAACAACACACACACACACACACACACACACACACACACACACACACACATAAACACACATAGAGGCCGGATGTGGTGGTACACACCTTTAATACCAGCACTCAGAAGACAGAAGACAGGTGGATCCCTTGGGAAAACTCAAGGATGGCTGGACATTTTCAGCTAACATGGTACTGAGTATACCAGACAACTTAAATGGGATTGTGGGCTTATTGCTTACCTCTCCCAGCTGTGGGAGAGGTTTGAATCAGTGCTAGTTCCTGGATTCTGATGTCACTGGATTTACAGTAGTCATAGTCACTGAAAGCAGAGTGCTTCACATTTACATTCCTGGGACTCAGTTAAACTGTGCAAACTTGACCAGGCTCATGAGGGCACCAACCTCAATCAAGTGAGAAACCTAAACAGTTTCAGGTTTACTTTTATGCCAAGATTCATTTTAAGAATCTGCCAACCTACAGTTTCCTTTCTTCACACAGACATCAAAGGTAACTGCATTAGTTATTTTTCTGTTGAAACACTGTGACCAAGGGAACTTATAAAAGAAAGAGTTTATTTAGTTTACAGTTCCAAAGGGGCAAGAGTTCATCATGGCGGAGAGACATGGTGGCAGAGGAGGCTGGAGTAGGAGCAGAAGCTAAGCTTTCACATCTTCAAGCAGACACAAAAAGCAGAGAGTGACTAGAGATCTGGCAAAGCTTAAGAACTCTGTAAGCCACTCCCAGTGACACGCTTCCTTCGGCATGGCCACACCTTCTAAGACCTCCCCAATCAGCAGCACCAATTGGGGACAAAATACTCAAATACTTGGAGCTCATGGGGGACATTCTCATTCAAACCACCACAGTGTCATTCTGTCTGTTACAATGACCAATTGTGAAATCTCTCTTTTAGATGTGAGTGAAGAATTGTGTTAAGGTGGAATGCAAAGTGTATGTTAGTATGTGAACTTGCAGAAGACATGTGAAAAGATGCATTATTAGAGAGCATCAAAATGACATAAAACAAAAAGCAGAGTTTCTTTTTAAGAATTCTGTGTAAAAGGTTGGCAAGATGGTTTAGCAAGTAAAAGGTCCCTGCCCCCAAGCCTTATCAACTGAATCTGATCCCTGAGACCTACATAGTGGAAGGAGAGAACCAACTCCCGCAAGTTGTGGTCTGACCTCCCCTCAAGCACAATGGTACACGTGCAACCAAATGTGTACATACACACACAAATAAATAAATAAATTGTAGACATAAAAAAGAATTCTGTGTAAAATGGAATTTACAAATTGAAGGGCTGGTATAATGATTGTGCTAAAATTTCTTTTAGTAGTATGAAAGTCCTATCTTCTACATGAATAATATCAAATCTGGAAATAAATGCTGAATAGGGCTTTCTTGAAAAAAAAAAAAAAAAGACGTGTGTATCTTGGTTCAGGCCTTTTCAAAAGTTGGGAAATCTTGACTTTTGAAAGTGTAGGCTTCCTCTATTTAATCAAATAAATTACTCTTTGGTTCTGGGCTATCTCTGTAATTAAACACATTCTGGTTTGAAAAAAAAAACTGCCTGTTAACGCTTATATCATAGTGGCTATGAATATACCTTTTAAAAATATTTATTCACTTAGGAGGCAGAGGCAGGCGGATCTCTGTGAGTTCAAGGCCAGCCTGGTCTACATAGTGAGTTCCAGGACAGCTGGAGCTACAGGGAGGCCCTGTCTCAAAAAGACCAAAAAGAAAATTTATGCACCAACTAAGAAAAAGAGAACTTTATTATGGCGTGCTTATTAGGTGCTAGAATTTTTACTAGTTTTGCATTAAGCTGAATGAGAATCTGCCTTTACAGTACATGCAAAGTGAATGCTTTTGTTTTTTGCACTGAAGAGAGTTGTGCTTGTCCGTCTTTTGCAGTGGAAGGACTCTGTGAAGGAATTGGTGCTGGTTTGGTGGATGTGGCCATCTGGGTTGGTACTTGTTCAGATTACCCGAAAGGAGATGCTTCTACTGGATGGAATTCAGTGTCTCGCATTATTATTGAAGAACTACCAAAATAATTCCTCTGATTTTTTTTCATTCCCTACCTCTTTTATTTTTAAAAATCATACCTTTGAATGATTCATTTAAATAACATTTAAGAAATCACTTTATGTATACAGCTGAATGAAAAACAAAAAACAAAAAACAAATATGTTTACAGACCAAAGTGTGATTTCACACTTTAAAGTCTAGTGTTATCCATATTACATGAACCAAAAATGGTTTCAGGATTTTTTAGTTGATGACTTTTTTTCATGCTCCCATTCTCTAAACCTGTATTTTAGAATGTGATTGTGGTCTTTAGAATTTTCTACTTTCTTAGTCTACCATTTTAAAAAATATAAAAGTTATGTCTTTGTACAAGTTGTAAATGTTTGGAATTATTTTATATTCATTAAATAAAACATTTTAAACAACTTTAATATCATTAACTAGTTGCCACTGAGGTTGAGTTTCTAGTACTTTATACCTGAAAAGTAAAACAAATCTAATCATTTAACGATATGTTTTTTTAGTACAGGAATCGTTCTGTATCTTGAGGGCTACAAAGGCAAAAGGCTGTTTATATGTCAGGAACATAACAGTATTTTAGGAATTTTATCTGTATTTAACAAAAAGAAAAAAGATATGGCTTTGGCCTCAAATTGCTCACCATTTGGTTGAAAGGATTAGACATACATAAAAATGATCCTGTTGAAGGAGGTGGAATAGTTCAGAACAGGAGTGATTACTTTCAATTAACGTGACCAGAAAGAATTCATGAAGTCAGGATAGGTGTGACACAGATGAAGTTCCCGGCTTGAACTGGAAGTATTAGCATGAATGCCCAAGTTGTCTTTTCTAAAAAGACCCAGGAACAATGACCAATTCAGTGGTGGCCAAACCGTGAAAGCTACATTGAGTATGGTCCTGGAAGAAATGAGTGATTTTAGCTCTTGACAGGAAATGTGCACTATGAGCCCAGAACATATTACCTTGGAAAACAAGACAACTGTGAAAGACAACTCAAAGGACTCAATAAAGAAGCTTGAATTGGTCTCTACTGGCAAAGATGATAGAAGTATCAATAAAGGTAATAACTGCAACATCAAAACAACATGATATAGTAAGGTAATGTACATGTATTCATGGTATTAAAATAAAAAGCCATTGTTCAAAGTGCAGGATGCCAACAAATCAACATGTTTTCAAAACTGGCAAATGGAACCACGCATTTGTTCTGCCTTCTTTATATGAATTGTATCTGAGTAACCAACTCATTGGTGAAGGAATTTCTCTTTTAAAAAAGTATATATAGGGCCAGTGAGATGACTCTGCGATAAAGGCGCTTGCTAAAAAGCACGATGACCAGAGTTTAATTCCCAGGACCCATATGGTGAAAGAAGAGAATCAATTGCCACAAGTTGTCCTCTAACCTCCACATGTGTGCCCACATACATATATACATACAATAAATTAATAAAATACAAAAATAAATTAATATAAAAATAATAAAATATTTTAAAAGTATATATACAGTATATATATTATAATAATATTGTATGTTCATACATTTAACAAATATAGAAAGAATGCAACATTAGACTACCACTCTTTTCAACCTCTCATGAATTGAGGGAACTAGTAGTATTTATCCTTGACTGATAACATTCCTCAAAGAGAGATCAGACTGTTTCCTAGTAAAGTCATATAAAACCACCTAAGTAAGATACGTTTTTTCCAGCAGTCAAATCTGGATTCAAGTTGGTTTCTAAATGTAACCATTAGTTGACAAGAAATGCAGGGATAAAAGAACAGGACACTGATACCACAGAGATACAATAAACAAAATAAAGAGTATAGAAAACTTGAAAGACAACTTGATTTGTTCAACAAATTGCAAGAAAAAAAAGCCAGATTAAAAGAAGCATAAGATTATATATCATTGCAAAGTTTGTGACTCAGACACCAATTTAAAAAACAAAAAGCACCAAACAAGGCCAAGTTTTCCTTGAGATATGTTGTTGTATTTATCTTTAAATATTGCTTGGTCTTTAGAAATAGTGAAAGAATTACATGATACCATATCTGTAATCTACTTCAAAAGAATCTGGGAAGGAGAAGTGGGGCACTCTGGACGAAACAATATTGAAGGCTGAAGACAGGGACTTAAGAACATTTTGAGCGCGCACAGGAACCTTAGTGAAAACTCTAGGTAGGGAATAAACTATGTTCCAGGACTAGTATGCTGAGCTTAGGGTGTGTAGAGGAGCTGTAAGAGAAAAAGCTGGCACAGGAGGTTGCGAAAATACCATGGGGGTCAAACCCACCACAGTTATCTGTAGGGTAATGGAGAACTATTGACAGAACTTTCTGACAACTGAATGAGAATTTTAAGTCAAACCACATAATCAAACAATAAATAAGCATTTCTCTGAAACAGCCCATGAAAGAATGAAAAGATACCCAGCATCACTAGTCATCAGTGAAATGAAAGTTAAAACCACACAAATACCACTTTATACACATTAGGATGTTTCAAATAAAAAAGTGGACAATATGTATTGATGAGGGAGGATGTGGAGAAAGCAGAACTCCAAATAGAGTACTAGTGGGGATATGTACAGCCACTACAAAAAGTAGTTCGATGGCTCTTCAACACGTTAAAGGTGGAACTACCCTATGGCCCAGATTTTACCCTCCTAGGTATATACTCAAAAGGTACATGGACAAAATCTTGAATATGAATGTTCATAACAGCTTATTCACAATAGTGGCAAGGTAGAAACAAGCCAATATCCATGAACTGAAATAAAAGAACAAAATGTGGTATGCGAATATAAAGGAACATTATCCAGTCATTAAAAAAGAATGAAGGACTTAAAGCATGTTAATGCTTCTAACATGTATGAACCTAAAAACATTATACTGAGAAGCCAGAGATGGAAGGCTGCATGCAGCAGATTAGTGTTTACTAGGGACTGAGGTAGAAATGGCTACTCAGTTGGTATAGGATTTCCTTTTGGAGTGATGAACGTATTATGGAACAATATGGTGATGATAGATACATAACACTGAGAGCATTAAATGCCACTGAATTGTACATATTAAATGGGGAAAATGGAAACTATGTAATGGATATTATTGACAATTTTTTTTAAAAAAGCAACTACTAGAATGATACAGCTTTCTTGATAAGCCTAGAAATGAAACGAGATTTAAGACATGTCCAAGAATCAGAAAGATTTAAAAATGGACATAGGAACGTGGATAATAGCAGAATCAAGAATCACTTCAAGATTTCAATCCTGGGACCCTGAGAGAAACAGAAATGGGGCAGTCAGGAGGAGATCTGGGGACAAGATGGTGGTTTGGACATGCTCAGTTTGCATTATCAACAGGACATTCAATTAGAGCTGCCCAACAGGAATAGAATGAAAGCCTGATGCCCAAAGAAATTTTTACCATAGAAGAGGTGATTAAAGGTAAACATGGTGGCACATGTCTGTAATCCCAGCACGCAAAAGGCTGGGGTACAAGGACCATATTAGTTTAAGGCCAGTCTGGACTATATAGAAATAAAAAGAAAAAAGGTGTAAAAATGAAAGCCGTAAGATGAGATCGCATTGCAAAGGAAGAAAATAGATAAGTGCAAGAGAAAAAAATTAAGATTAAGGAAATTAAGTGGATAGAAGTAAAGGAATCCAAAAAACAAAACATCACCAAACCAATGATATGGATTTTCAGGAAGTAAGGGACAGATAGCCAACAATATTAAACACTACATGAATGTTGAAGAGGTTTAAGTGATGCAACCAGTGATGTGTTACAGCAGCTGGGACCAGCAGATGGAAGTTGCCTGGGCATAGCACCCAGCTTCACATTCATTTATCACACTGGTACCTTGAAATGGATCATCATCTGAAACTGACAAACACTGAAAACCAGGGCTTCCTTATTTCCTACCCTCAACAAGAGCTGATTGATTTGTAACTCCTATCACAGTCCATGGGCCCATTCCCTTCACTTGTAGAGAGCTCCTAGAAGAAAGTAAAATTACCAAAACCCAATAGAAAATGGGAAAAGAGGGGGCTAGCGATAGCTCAGCAATTAAGAGCACTTGATGTTCTTGCAGAGGACCCTGGTTCAATTTTCAGGACCCACATGGCAGCTAACAATCATTCATATGGAAATTGCAGTTCCAGGGAATTCAACACCCTCTTCTGGTTCTCCAGGCACTGCACGCATATGGTGCACCTGCATACATGCAGACAAAACACTCATACACATAAAGTAAAAATAAATAAGTTAAAAAGTTTTATTGAATTTTTGTGGTTTCCACACAATATAATTTGATGGTATTTAGATACCTCCCCTATCTGTACCTCATCTTACTGCCCCCCAATTTAATATACTCTATTATATATACTACAGCCTAAAGAGTCTGGTTTGTGTTCCCACATTTCCCTCAGTGTGGGTCTATCTGCTGGAGCCTGGTTAACCTAGCAAGAGTACCGCCCTTGAAGGAGACTGTCTTTGTCCTCCCAGCAGCCAGCAGTTGCCATGATTTCCTTAGGCTGGATTGGGGTTTCTCACACTCTTCCTTATGTCTGCTGGAATTTTGTTTGGTTTGAGCTTGCATGAGACTTATGCATGCTATCACCATTGCTGTGAGTTCATATAGTAACTGTGCACCTGTCTGGAAGATTATTTCCTTACAGTCTTCCACCCCCTCTGGCTCTTACAATCTTTCTGCCTCTTCTTCCACAATGATTCCTGCACCTTTGGAGGCAGAGGTTTGAAATAGCTGTCCTTTTTGGAGATAAGCATTCTGTGGCCTCTTGTTCTCTGCACCTCAGCTAATTATGGGTCTCTGTGTTAATCACCATCTGCTGCATAAGGAAACTTCTGTGGTGAGAGTTAAGAGATACATTCATCCTAAGTGCAGAGGTTGCATTGAAGATATGTCACTTAGGGCTAAGTGTCTCACAGACACTTATTCTCTGCATTTGACCAGTTGTGGAGCTCTGTAATAGTCTCCGTTTACAAAAGAGCCTTCTTTGATGAGCGGTGAGAGGTACACTTGTCTGTAAATGAGGCTACATATTTAGAATACAGTAAGAAATTACATTGGTCTAGGGATGTGGTAAAAGTAGATTTTTCTTTAGGATCTATGACCTCTCCAACCATGTGTATTTGGCTATGTTTGCAGTACCATACATAAGTTCCCTCCCACTGAGTAGCCTTAATTCCAATTAGACAGCTATTGATTAACCCTAAGATAAAAGTGCCACTATCGATAGTTTGCTGAGCCAGTGACTGTTGTTTATTAGGCTCTACAGCTGGGTCAGACCATTGATTGATTTTTTTTCCCCCCT